GGTAGCAGTAATCCACTTGCTTATCCACAATTTAGTTTCGGCAAGTAAACATCCTTATAAATATTGTTCTGTAACAATATACACTGACTGATGCAAAATTGAAACTTGAACAAAATTCACACGTATTAAAAAGCATGCCAACCCTGGTCGATGTGCACACTTTACAAGATAACTTGCTTGAATATATATTGATCAATATACAAACTTAGACGATAAGTTCAAAGTTGAGTGAAATCCATGCCTAATTAATTAGCATACTGTACTCTGATTGGTCAATGGTTTTATGCCAAGTAACTTTGTCAGATAAGGCAAGATTCTAAAGAAACTTGTTTGATATATTATTCAACAACAAAGGCAAAGTTCAAAGATGTTCACAATCTGTGCATAATCTATTTAATGGTTTAAAATAATCAGGTATTGGTCAAAGGGGTAAATGCCAGTTTCAGTTTTTAATGTTCTATGAAATACATTGTATGGACAAAGGGAAGCACAAGAAGAATAACTTCACAGTGGTACACTTTTACATAAAACTTTGATTCATAAATTAACAGTAAATCTTTCTGTACAATATGATGGGAACTTCGTCTTTATTTTGTTCTCCATTCCAAAAATAATATATATCTTTTGCCTTAGCTTTCAGTACTTTCAGTACTTTGATTCAAAATTACTTCAACAATTTTTTGTTTTCAAAATTTATGATTCATGCTTCAACACTTCTTAAGAATATTCGTTTTCTGTTAGCAAATATGGCTTATTTGTGAGTTCTTTCTATTCACCAGTGAACTTTACTTCAAATCCCAAGCTGGACAGAAGCACTCTGCAATCCGCGATGTCAAGGCTGACAGTATCGGAAAACTGGTGTGTGTCAAGGGCATTGTCACCAGGGCCACAGAGGTTAAACCAATGCTCTCTGTGGCCACCTACACCTGTGATACCTGTGGTAACGAGACTTACCAGCCAATCAGCTCGCCCTCTTTCATGCCTTTGATCATGTGCCCCAGTCAGGACTGTACAACAAATCGATCGGGAGGTCGTCTTTATCTGCAGACCCGAGGGTCAAAGTTCATAAAATTCCAAGAAGTGAAAATTCAAGAGCATGTAAGTTGCAACAATTTCAATGCATATAAGACACTTCAGTATGTTTAATTGTCAAATTTTATCATCATCTTTATATGTAAAAACGGATACCATCCATAAAAATATAGACAGGAAACACAAATAGGGATAGAAGCGATTTATCTTGAAGTTATTACATGGGGTCAGTTAGTCAAGATTTTTTCACTGGAGTAGCCAAAAAACAGTGTTTCAGGTAACTTGTTATTGCTGAATTTGCGACCCTATTCCAAAAAACTGGTGGGAAAAGTTTTCCCCGAATCTCGTCAAAATTAACCAATTCTTAAATTGACGATATTTTGTAAAGAAGTCTTACAAGGCCATACAACGTTAACTGACCCTTTGGATGTGAATAAACAGGAAACATGGCTAACCAGTGTTGCATGTTTGTTTTTATAGGCTAGCCGTTACATGGATGATTTTTATTCTCTGCTGACAGCAGATACATCAATGATTTTTCCCAATTGACATTTGACATGGGCCTTTTTGCAATTCAACTAGAAAAACTCCTGTTTATGGTACAGTGCTGTTGTTAATCTTGATGTCTGATTTCAGAGTGATCAAGTGCCTGTTGGGAACATCCCGCGTGGTATGACGGTGCTTTGTCGTGGAGAGATGACACGCCTTGCTCAGCCAGGAGATCATATCAGCATATCTGGTGTATCCTTTTCCTACCTCACTGAAAGCAATCTTATAATGAATGGAATTACCTCAGAAAGAAAGAAAACTGTTTAACTGCAACTTGAAATAATTTTTCCTTGACCATAGATCAGGTTTTCTTACCAATGATGAAACAAGGGTTCAGGGATATGCAGCAGGGATTATTATCAGAAACCTTTTTAGAGGCACATGTAAGTATATAAAACCTGAGAAAGACTGCTTGCTTGTTATTTCCTCATGATTGTGTGACCTAAACAAATAATGCCCTTATAGTTAATTCCTTAGATAAATTTTACATTACCTCCTTTACTCATGATCAATACAAGAAATACAACGTTAACTGCAATCAAACTTTACATATATAGATACATCTCGACTCTTGAGTACCACAGCAATATATCAAAAGTAGGTCACTCCGACCTTTATTATCCGCTTATAGTAATTGTTTTTACATTAAGCTCCTCTTTGCCCTTTTCAAGAAACCATAACGGAGACCTACATTTTACAATCAATTCATTGTTTTGAAAATATTTTATTAAGCAGACTGATATTGTACTGAAAAAAACCCCAGTTTTTAGCTCGCCTATTCAAAGAATAGGGGGGCTAATGTAGTCACCCTGGCGTCAGCGTCCCACCTTCCGAAGTTAAAGTTTTTGTGCAAGTTTTTTCCAGACAGTGTTGGATCATCACACTCAATACACAGTTGTCTATTATGAGTTTAAGTCATTTATATCGAGTGTAAGCAATCACTTCACATAGATGTTTCTACACATTTAATAGTCCTTGGAATATCCTGGTGGTAAGTGAGGTGGCAAATAAAATGACAGGCACTAATCAACGTTTAACTATACATGTGTTTCTATTGATAGTTGCAGTATTATAATAACATACATAGGCTATGCTGTTCTCCGACAGCTCTTGTTCAATTGGGAGAATCATAATAAAAATCGAGGGTATTCTGTATGTATTTGTAGAGAATTGTCAAGATGAATAAGACGGAGGACGATGAATTAGGAGCAGAGGAGTTATCAGAAGATGAGATTAAGAAGGTTGCAGAGGATGACTTCTATGATAAATTAGCAAGCAGTATAGCCCCGGAGATCTTTGGTCACGAGGACGTCAAGAAAGCGCTGCTCCTTCTTTTGGTTGGTGGCGTTGACAAATCACCAAGGGGCATGAAAATCAGAGGTTAGTGTTAATCACTCGTTAAGATTTGTTATAGAATGTTTTGTTGATATGTAAAAAAAATATTGTTACCGTTTGTCTAAATTGTCTTCACCCCAGCATGATGGTATCAGAGCTCAATGAGTTAAAAGTAAAAAGTGGTAGTTTCCATAGGTCGGGTATATATTATTAGGCAGAGAATATGAAGACATTTGTGAAAATTGTTGTTTTTATCAAGTTACATGTGGCTTTATAAGAAAATATGATAACACTCTGAGGAAAATGTGGTTTTCCGCAATTAATATCAAGTAAACAGTAAATTTGATAATTGGATTATAGTATTTCTTCAATTGAAAATACGTTGCAAAGTTAGATACTGATGTTGTGTTATTTGTAGGAAATATAAATATTTGTTTGATGGGTGACCCAGGAGTGGCCAAGTCTCAGCTGTTATCTTACATCGACCGACTCGCCCCTCGCAGTAAGTATCTACCATAAATTTGCGCGTATAGTGAACACTTTTTTGGGTAAATATTGTCATGTCAAAAAGGGGGTGCACACTATACAGAGGAACAAGTCATTCTTGGGTTATCGATCTCGAGTTTCTGGTCAGCCATATTGGATTACCTCCCTTCAAATTGTTTATTTTGAGTCGTCGATCATACATGTTAAGATTGAAGATTAAAATAACAACAAAGAATGAAATTTTGGCAACACAATTTTTACCTTCTTTTAAATGATTAAAATCAGTAATCATGACTGCTGATTTGGCGACAAACACTAGCTGGTAACGTAACATTTTTAGGTCACCTGAGCTTTGCTCAAGTGACCTATTCCAATCACTTTCCGTCCGTCGTCGTCTGTCGTGCGTAAACTTTTACATTATCAACTTCTTCTCAAGAACCAGTGGATAGAATATTTTCAAACTTGGTCAGAATCATCCTTGGTAGATGAGGCTACCAAATTGTAAAATTGGGATTCCTACCCCAAACCTAGGGGCCAGGGCGGGGCCCAAAAGGGAAAATTAACCAATAATTCAAAAATCTTCTTCTCCAGACTAAAAGGTATTACAGTCATTTTCTCTGCATGGATGGAAAGATCATCAGGGGCTTTATTAGGGCTTTTCACCAACTGGTGAAAAGACCTATTGTTTTTGTTATGTTTCTTATTCTTATTCTTATTATTCTTCTTCCGTATTTTGTGGAATCTGTATCTTTTGATTGGTAAAAGAGAGGTTTATAGTCTTTTAAGTACGTTGTAGGAAAAGGTCTAAAGCTGATCAAGCAACATTTTGAAGTAGGTCAAAAATAAAATATGGCAGCCATGACGTCATAGGTCAATATCTTAAAATGGCCATAACTCAAAAACGGTTTAATTTACAGAATTGACGCAATTATATTATATGTAGATTATCTTAGGGGCTAACTTTAATTACCACATGGTTTTTCATTTAAAGGTCAAATAAAAAAGCTCGCTGTTGGGTCAAAGGTCATAATTTAAAAAAAAAACATTCATTTTTCATTGTTTTGGAAAAATACTTCTACAGATCGATGGAGGATGTCATTCTGATGAAGTTGATGTCTTAAGTTTTTCTGTAACATTTACCGTTAAGGTTGTACGCCATTTTGAAATGTTTCCTTTGATCTTTTAAAAATTTGGCAATATTTTAAAACTTGTTTTACTCCAATATCAATGACAAATATTTCGTTTAGTTGTAACGGGACAAGTTTCCCTAGATGTCTTCTAACATTTGGTAACACTTTCAACTTCATCAAAAAAACAAAATGGCCGCCATGACGTCATAGGGTAAAATCTTTAAAACCGCTATTACTCGAAAACCGTTGATTGTACAGAATTTGTGAAAGTTAATTATTTGTAGATAATTTCCATTTCTAACTTTTTCTCACAACATGTTAAAGGGACATCACGTGAAAAGGCGTTTTTTTTTTAATGAATGTATGTATTGTAGGCACTTCCACTTATGTTACCTCGCTATCCCCATATTCATAGTCCGTTCCAAATGTCCAGTTTGACCACTTGAATTGTTCGGGAAAGCCCGGCTAAAAATAGCGCCGATAACGTCACCTGATTAGGCAGCAAACACAAGTGGTGCGAGCGAGATGAAACGGTTTACAAAGGGGCCCTCAGAGAGGGGCCGTCAGGCAACTGCAACTTCTTACCGCACTATGAAACCAAGTTATATGATTTCTAATTCCGTATTCAAACTTATTGAACAGTAATTATTCATCATCAGAAGTTAATTGCACACTTGCCAATATTAAGAATTTAAATTTATTTAGCTTTTAACATAAATTTGTTGCCAATAAAATTAAACAAAGGATGGGGCACAAGTTTTTACAATTTATCACAGCCTTCTCCCGTGACCGGTACAGGTGGTACGGGGCTAAACACTCCCTCAACAATGGGACAAACCTTTCTGTAAAAAGGAATATTCACGAGACGAATATCCCTTTTCAAATGTTTACATAAAGTGCATATATGCAATGACAAACTACACGCGAATATAAAAAGGAAACGTTTGTGAATTTATTTATTACATTAAACAACTCAATGTCTTTGGCCATTTTTTTTCTAGACCATGAATATAAATCTATGTATACTCTCTTTCCCACTTTCACTGTCTCCAAACGCTAACATTTAGGAAGTCATATTAACCATCACACACAATAAACTGTATGGCAAAACNTTTTTTTATATATTGCGTCGTCGCGCCAGGGCAGGCCGGGTATTATATTAGTACTAATTTAAAACTTGCATGTCAAAACAAAAAACAATCGTTTAATTCAGCAATATAATTAAATCATACCATTTTACTGATCCCGGTAATATTATAAATTATGTAAATCTAATAGCGCACGTATCTCATTTGACCCCGAGCACCGACAGAGGATCAGAGAACAGAATACGCCGTGGCCATCACAGCAGTTATCCCTTGGGGGGCCTCATGGCAAAATCAAACTAACCAGTCACTTATCCCTTTCGTTTGCATAAACCACTGTATAATTATAAAAAAACACAAAGTAAACTCTCTCCGATACATGCCCATTAACATATTAAACTAAGTTCATCTGTGTTCAAACTCACACAATGATACTAGCGAGGTTAATAGTTTTAGATATTTATTCATAACATAAACAGCGCTAGCATTTCTGTCGATTTTATTTCAGCTTAACCGGCCGCTATCCGGAAGAAAACATGCACCGTACTGACTGCTAGGGCAGTTATTTTCTGCTTTGAATACTTCCCACTGGCAATAATGATTCCGTAACGTACCCCTTGCGCTATCTTTTGACCATTTGGCAACTATTCGCTTCGTAGCTGACACGGTACAACACTTTTCTTTGGCTTACTTCACACGGCCAGTCATTTTGTTTACAAAGAAATGGTGTGCTATGCGCATGCGCTAGTAGAGGGAAATCCCTGAACAAAACGTTGGTCAGACAGGTAGAAATACCGATGATTATCTTAGATTTAATCATTTTTATGAATCTTTTTCAGCCAAATCCGATCGGCATTTTCCATAAGGAGTCTCACTTGATATGTTTATGTAGTATTTGGAAAAAAGACACAAAAAAAAGTTACTTCAGCGTGATGCCCCTTTAATACAAAATATTTCTAATTAAAAAGTGCACCCCTGGGTCGAAGTTCACCAATTTTTTTAAAAACATTCATTTTTCATTTTTTTTTGAAAAATTCTTCAATAGATTGATGAAGAATGTCATTCCGATGAATTTGATGTCTTTAGTTTTTCTGTAACATTTACCATTAACGTTGTACGCCATTTTGAGATATTTCCTTTGATCCTTTCAAATGCTGACAATATGTTAAAACTTCAACGATCTTCTTCTCCAATTCTGCCATTGCAATATTAACCACAATTGGTACATGTATTCCTCTAGGGGCCCTTACGAACTTATGTTACTTTTTGGAGCAATTAATATTCCAAGATGGCCACCACGAACTCTGATTGGTTAACAGCCTATACCAATATATTTCGTTAACGATATCAAACACGAGGTTGATCTTTGGATATCAAATGGAGATAAGCAAGAGCAAACTTTTTCTCTCATACTGTTTTAACAAAAAATGTCAACTTCCGGTTCTCGGCAAGGGTCAAAGTTAAAATGCACTATATTGGGTACCAATCTTAAAAAATCATCTTCTTAAGTTCCACAAGGTCTAGAGTCTTGATATTTAATGTGAAAGATTCTGAGATGTCGGGGTATCAGGTTTAAAAAAAATGGTTGACATTGATCAACTATCCAGGTCACAATCAAGGTCACAAACTTCATATGTGTTATTTCAAGATAATGACTTCAAAAAACTTCTTCTAAAGTTCCACAAGGTCTAGAGACCTACTATTTCATACATAACATGGTCAGGTTATTGGCTATCAAGTTTGAAAATATGAATGACCTTGACCAATGTTCAAGGTCATTGGGGTCAATTATGTTAAAATCTTCAAAAGACTCCTTCTCAATAACGGAAATGGCCAGGGTATTGATATTTGGTCTGTAGCATGCTAGGATGATGGGCTACATGGTTTATTGACACAAATGACCATTAAAGATCAACTTCCGGTATTTGAGAGAGTTCAAATTCGAACATATAATTTTACCAGATACCAGGACTTTTACTACTGGTGTAAGGGAAGTAACCCTTACAGTGAAAAGCCCGTCAAATTGTTAGCCAACAATTTCTAGTTTAAATTGTAACTTTCAGGACCCCCGAGCTATCCGTTCTCCCTTGGGGAGGGGGTAAAGTTTACTATAGTTTATATAGGGAAACAACACTTTTGGGTATATTTTGACAATTTTCTGTTGGAAATTATTCTTACTTGGTCAGAATCATCCTTGGAGGAGGAAGATGGTTTTAAATTGTAAAATTGGGATTCCTACCCCAACCCTA